TCAGCATTAAAAGTGATGTTTGCTGTGGAACTTTCACAGATACCCTTTCTGAGAGAAAGGAAATTGGCTTCTATTCCCAGTTTGTGCAGATATTTTTGTCACGAATGGATAATAACTTTTATCAAGTGCTCTTTTATTCAGTACGATTAAAAGAGCATTTAATAATTTTTACCTTTATTCTTTCAATGCAATTAAATATCCTAATGTTAAATCCACCTTACATTTATAGAATAACTATATTCTTAGTATAAACCAAGTTGGTTGGGATGTGGTACCCTGTTTATATGACTCTAGGTTTAGTTTAATAGTTTGTGTAGAATTTTTGTATCTGTGTTTACAAGATAGATTGGCTGAGTTTTTATAAGATACTTTATCAGGCCCTGGTAATCAAGGTTATGGTGGCGTTAAGGTTAATTTCAGAAATGTTTTCTCTTTTTCATATTATCTGAAGTGTTTTGTATAAGATTCACATTTTTTACTTCCTTAAATGGTAAATTCACCAGTGAAGCCATCTGGGTCTGGAGTTGTCTTTGTTAGAAAGGTTTTAAAGTGTGCATTCAATTTCTCTAAGAGATATAATAATATATAATTTTCCTGCTGCTTCACGAGTTTGTTTTGATAGGTTGTGGTTCCCTAGGAATTTGTCTATATCATCTGATTTTCACATTTATTTTCAGAAAGTATGAAGGTGTCTCTTTTATGGAGATTTTTTTTTTAATTCACAAAATTAACAAAAGGTGGGAAAATATTAGAGTCCCTTTTGTCCCCTTGAACTATTTGACAATAAGTGGCCTACTGACTAGCTACTTTATCACCCCAAGTACTTTAGTGTATATTTTCTACAAACAAGAGTATTCTCCTAAATACCCACTCTACAACCATCAAAATTAAGTTACTGGCATTAATATATTATTATATCTTTCCTCAGAACCCATTCATGGTCAACAGCTCTTCAAATAATGTCCGTTATAGCAAAAGGGTCTTGTTCAAAGTCATGCTTTGCCTTCATTTGTCACACCTCCATGGTCTCCTTCGTCTAGAGCAGTTCCTCACTGGTTTTTTAAGATTGCAGGCATTTCCCTTTTAGAATGTCCAAGTCTCTCTGACATTTGTCATGGTTAGATTCGGGTTGTGCATCCTGAGCTGGAATGCCACCGAGGGGTGCTGTGTGCCTCTCACTTACGAGGTGATGCACAATTTTGATGGGTCCCATGACTCGCAATGTCCGCTCTGATCTCTCCGTTAGGGAGGTGTGTCTACTAGGCCTTTCATTGTCAAGTTGCTCCCATTAATTAATTACTTTGTCAGAAGGTACTTTGACATTGTGTCCATAACCTGTTCCTTAAAGTTCTTTCAAATATTTATATCTAGATGGACTCATGGCTTTCCTTCTTCCCTCAAGGTGTTGTAAGTAGTTACTAAAATTATTTATTTTGAAACGCAGATTAGTAGTGGGATTTGGTCCGTTCTAACCCCTACAAGCTGGCTTCTTTGTCCTAAGAACGTGTCCCCTTCATTCTTTGAGCATACTCCTACTCTAAACAATAAGCTTTTCTAAGTCTGTCTCACGCTTTCCCTTTCTCAGACCTGGAATTAAGAAACTCCATTTCTTCATGGAGTTCTGGTTCCTTTTAGTGAAGAAGAGATTTAGAAGCCAAGATCTTTGCACTAGGAATACTCACTGCTGTTCTTAAATCCCCCCAGCGGACAGTGCTAGGGTACTCTGAAATGTGTGTGTATGTGTGTATGTGTGTACATACAAATTATATGAATATTTACACTATCTTTGCTTCTATTATTTAAAAGCTGAGTTCATACTGGTATCTTCCATTCTAATTCCATTCCATGGAGTTTGTTCTAGTTTTCTCTCCCTTTCCATATTTGTAACTCCCTTCTCTAATAATGGAAACCAAAATATATACGCCTTTTTGGTTAATTCCCCTCTCTATATGCATGTCCCTTCACCTTATTCGGGTTCTGATATCCCATGAAGACTTTCCCACCTGTGCATATCCTTGGGTCTCAGGATGTGTCATGACACTCAGGTATGTGTAACCACAGGGGATATTCTCATCACTCCACCTAAGCTCTAACTTCCTGTTTGAGGTCTTATCCCAAGCTCCAGGACTCCCCCCTCTCCTCACACAGCTGCCTTTTCCACCCCACACCACAGTCCAGGCCACCACCACACACGGACACCCTCCTCCTCCCACTTGGCTCTGGTTTTCCCGCATCAGGCCACCTGTCTGCATGGATGCCTGCCTCCTTCACCAGGTACGTACGCCTGTGTAGACGCCTCTTCCTGGGCTTTGACAACCCACACCAGTCTCTTCTCCAGGGCTCTGATCCTACTTGGGCAATGACTCCACTCGCAGGGTTGCTGCCTTCGCTCAGTGTAGACACACTCCTCCCCCTGGTTGAGCTTGTTGCCCCAAGCTGGCTGCCCCCCTCCATGGGGAGCCTTCTTTCCCTGCTGAGGGCTGGCTTCTGGGCTGGGCTTCCTCACCAGCTCAGGCTCTACGTGCTGCCCTGGGTGGGACTATCTGTGTGTGTACACCCTCCGTATCCTACTTGAGCTTTGACACGGCATTTGAAATGATGTTCTATTTTTATTCTAGATACTAGTGACTTATGCCCTCTCTCTCTTTCTTCCTGATCAGGGTCTTGCAGTAGTTTGTCAGTTTTATGAGTGTTCTCAAAGAATTCTTTTGTGGTTTGCTGATGCTTTCTATCAAAAGCATGTTTTCTATTTGGCTTCTGCTGCATATGACTTCATTTCCCCCCCCCCCTACTTTCTTTTGCGACGTCTGTGATCCATGGGTTATTGAATGGTATGTTTTAACTTCTAGTTATTTTGTCTACATTTCTGTCAATTTTTAAAGTTCTATTTCTGTTTCTAGTCTAATTTTACTGTGCTCAGAAAACACCCTGTTTTTGTTCCAGTCCTGTGAAATGTGTTGAGCCTGAATTGATGACCCATTCTTTGTAATCAACTTTGGCAAGTTTCCAGAGATGCTTGCCAAGGGGATTCTGCAGGGGTTGGATGGCTCCCTCTTCCAGAGCTGCCGTCAGGGACCACAGGCCACCGCGGACACGCGTGCAGTGGTTTTCTCCAGGGCGGGAGGATACCGTGTCTTGTTTCGTAGGTGCTGTACCATCTGTAGGTGGCAGATTTAAATGCTTAACATGTACCCATGCATGAACCCTTATATGGACATATTATTTCCACAAAACAGGGCATTAAATTAGATATGAAACGAGGAACAAAGTAACATAGGACAGCATCATTTTGGTGTCTCGTCATCTCACCAGGAATTTCTTCTGAAGGTTGGATGTTCACAGTGTGATGTAACAACGATAGCATACATTGTTATTTTGTTTGTCAAACAATCGTTTTAAAGTTTTCCAATACCAATTAAGTTTAAGCCAACTCTTAGTTGTTACATTACACTGAGGGTGTACAATATGACATGAGTTGTTACATTACACTGAGGGTGTACAATATGACATGATTATCTATTTGAGAAAAAAGCCTTTCTGCAGAAGTTTTAAAAAAGGAGAAATCCTCATATAACTTTTTTTTTTTAATGAAATTCCTATTCCACATACAGTTGGGCAGTTTTTACTTGAAAAGTAAAGGGAGGTATTTTCAACACATTGAGGATTTTTATAACAATTTATAATTATATGTGTTTATACATTCCAATATATGTAGCATGCCATTTGTATATTCCAAAACAATTTGCATAATCCAGTTCACATCTTTAAAATCGTTTCTCTCTAGTCCAGAAACAGTGGTGAGGTCTACCCATGGAGTCTCCTTAGCATCTTCAAATACCCATGACCCTCCTGTGGGTGGCCTGTCCGGAGCACAGGTACACTACGTCTGAACAAGAGCCAGGTGGCGAGGCTCAGCAGTAGACATACCCTGGCTGGCAGGCAACTAGAGAGCTAGCTAACTGATACAAAACACAAATACACCAAAGGAGGGAACGTGTAACAGTATTACCAGATAGAAGTTAAGTTGTGCTGTTCACATCCGAAGGAAGTTCAGAGGATTATCCCAGCGCAGCAGCTAGCGAGGGCAAAAGACTGTTAGTACAAACTACTATCTTTTTTTCAGGGTCCCTTTTGAGGAGATCCATAGTCCATTAGAAGAAAAGCTGAGCAGTATTACCATGTAAAACCTGATGTTGCATTCAGGGTTTATCTACACAGACTTAGCTGTTCGGAAATTGTGAACTGAGCCCTGTCTCCTTACGCCCCCTCCTGCTCCCATGTCCATGCTGTTCACAGGCGTGGCCTCAGTCACTGAGACACAGCGTGGAGGTAAACACTCAAAGGACCGTTTAAGAGGGGAGGAATAGCGGTTGCACCTTAACTGCTGCAGGACAAGGTGGAGCCGGTCAGACGGAGCACCCCCCAGGCTGGGGGAGGGGCAGGGGATGGTCTCCGATGACGACGATGGAGGTGGGATGGGACGGATGCAGCCTTCATCCACTTTTGCTGATCGGTGGGGAGCACCTCTTGTCAGGATTAGGATCTAGGGCAGACGTGGAAGAATAGTTTCTGGTGAACTTATTAAACTCATCTCAGTAATTGAGGAAAATAAATGTTAAGTTTTTATGTGTGTTTTACCCACAATCTTTTTACCTACTGTGGCTAGAGAGGACACAGATCATAAGGAAGTCTGATGCTTCAGGTTCTGAAAAAGAACTAGGTAAGCTATTTCACGAATATTGATCACTCCCGTTTTTTATGCTATAGAACTGGCTCTCTCTAGTATTTGAGAGTATATTTTATTTTTTCCTAATACCACTGCGCAGGAGGAGAGAGTGGGAAATCCGTTTAGCTTACTTCTGCATCTGAACCTAGTGAAGCATAAAATTTCCCATCAGTCTTTTTTTTTTTTTTTTTTTTAAGTTGTTTGCAATGATTGTGGACTGTGCTGCGTGCTGAGGCCACTTGGAAACAGTGACCCGATTCTTGCTCATTGTCAGGAAACTGCATCCAGAGAATGCGAAGGACGCCCCCTCTGGACGAACTGCAGCCCCCGCCATACCAGGATGACAGCGGGTCCCCCCACCTCTCATGTACGCCCTCCGAAATCGGGGACAGTAAATGTGAATTTTCCCACTGCAGCAACAGCCCACGACGCTCCTATCACAAGTGCCCGAGCGAGGGAAGCACGGGTCACGAAATAGAGAGTTTTCACAACAAAGGATACGAAGAGGACGTTCCCAGCGACAGCACGGCCGTCCTGAGCCCCGAGGTAAGTGAAAGCACGTAGAGTTTGTAGAGTGACTGTTATCCGGAAGATGACAATCCTGTGCTGCTCCTCTTGGTAAGGAGGAGGTCTTAGCACGTGGTGGCTTCGTGTGCCAGTTTCTATCCTCGATCTAATCTTTAACCAGCAGACTGACTGGGGTGTCTCAACCATTCTGCCCACCGCCTCCCTCAGGAAGATGGATAGCTGATAAAGTTTCGACCTCTATCTTTAAAAAAACACATAAAACATTATGGAAGTATGTGTTTTATAATGAGTGAGGTTTCTATTGCTGTTTGTGTCTTTTTAAAATTTATTTTATTTGGGACACTTTTATATTGGGAGACTGCCCATTAGGAAAATGCAAAAATGTTATTTTGCAAAATATTATCATAGAATATAGAAGAGATAAGTCATGCTCAGCTTCACTAACGAAATTTGAACTCATGGCGTCTGTTGGTTGTGTTTTAAGTTATTTCCTCTTTTTGGAGCAAAAAAATGTGAAAATTAACACCAAAAATAGGGGTGTTACAATTTGAAGTCTTTACATGTTCTTGTAAGTTTTTTAAAAATATTTCTATAAAAGAGGAAAATTATAAAGGTCACGTAGAGGGTTTCATAAGGTAGTATTTATTTTTTAAATTTCTCTCTTTTAGATTTGCAAGTTTTTACAACTTCTGTCCTAGACAACATTTTGTAGAACTGTAGTGTGTCATTGTTCTTGCTAGCTGACTTTGCCTGCCTCCACTACCAAGTGTTCAGATATAAAAGAAGTAAGAGGATCCAGATGAGGTAGGTTCCACACTTAGGACAGGATGCCAGCAGGCACAGAGGCAGGGCCACACTATGTGAATCCTGGCATAGGTTATGCCCATTTGTCCCATCTCACTCTTCCTGCTCCACCTATATCCCCCGGTTATGGTGTGGCAGCAAGGACGTGAGTTGAACTAGGAGCAGGGGTGCCAAGGGCCAGAAATACAAGCCTTATTGCAGGGGCAAGTAGTCCTGGTCACCCATGAAACTTTGGCAAGTTAGCCTATCCAACAGGCATAGGTTTTACCTGCATTTCTTGGCTAGAACACATGGGTGACAGAGCTGTCAGCCCAGACATGACATGATCATGGCTTGGGCTTCCCATCCCTTTTAATAAGTAATATTCACTTGTTCTATTTTTCTTTCTTACAACTTAGTGACTATATTTACTACATCTTCAGAATTCTGCCCATATTTCAGAAGCTACTAACTTGCTATTTGTGTTAATACTTCTGACCAGTCTCCTCTAGAATTGACTATATTCAAGTAGAGCAAATATTGACATAAATATTTATATGCCAATAACCTCTGGTAATATAAAACTCAGTCCCATATTTTTATAGAATCTTGACTTTCCTCTGGGCTTACCTCAGGATGTGGCTGCCTTAGCCTCTCCACACACACTGAGCTGGAGAGTGAGGGTTCAGAAGAGCCCTGGCAGGGAGCTCGGACCCCACTGATGATTTCTTGCTGGTGGACACTGTTCACAATTCTAAGATCCCTTGAGAGGGAGGGTTATTTTCTGATTTAGAATTCTTACAGAATACACCTATAAGCTTAATCTGTGAAGGTCCTGAGAATTGTTAGAATGGACCAAGAGAAACAAAATTCAGAAATAGCTATCTAGAACGTTTAAAAAAAATTTTTTTTTATTGCCCTGAAAATAGCTTTCATGACACTGTTTTAAAAAATAATTGAAATTTCTAAGCTATACCATTAATTATCTTTATTTGCCATTATGAAATGGCATGCATTAAAACATTTTGGTCTAAATTGTAATTTTTTTTTTTCCAGAACAAGAATATGTTTATTCTATAAAAAAAAGGTCTTCTAGGAGACTTTGTCCCTCCCCGCCAAGTATGGTCCTTAATTTGTCATCTTCTTTTCCATACATGTTACTAAGGGGGGTCATAGTACATAGACATATATCTATGAGGTCGAAAACATGTATGTATTTGGTTCACTACTGCATCCCTCCCACCTAAACCAGAGCTTGACACATGGTAGGTCCAATAGTTAGGATCTGTATGAAGCTGTTATAACAAAGAGTCCAATGCCGTGAGTAAAACTCACAGAAGATTGTCTCTCACTTACCAGGGTGAGTAGGTGGCTTTGCTCAGGGGCCCAGTTCCTTTTTTGTCACTGTCATCCGTAGGGTGCTGTCCTAGTCCCCGTGGTCCCTACTGGCCCACTCATCCTCTCTTGGTGTCAGCTCTTCTGTGGGAAGAGTGGGAGAGAACGGAAGTGAAGGCACTTCTTCTATAAATACAGTCTGGATGTTTCACATATAGTAACCTTCGTTTGCCGCCCATTGGCCACAGCTGAGCCTCATGGACATATCAACCATGAAGGAAATTACAGTCTTTTGCTAGACTGTGTGTCACTGGCTAAAACTCATAGTTCCTTTGGGAAGTGCAAAAAATAGAAGACTGGCAGTCAACAGTAGGGACTACTAAGTAAAAGTTCAGAAAAATTTAGTCCACATTTTAAAATGAAAAACATTTAATATTTATTAAAATACTTGAAGGAGCAAGTGATAGAGTTGAAAGGTCAGTCGATAACTGGCTGAAACTCTGTTCACATTCCAGGTAAATGGGCACAATTTCTTTTAATCACATAATTAAAGTGAACAGATTTGGTCCTTCTTGAACTTTTGAAATATGTTTATTCTGCCATTTTCAACAGTAATTAGTATTAGAAATATTTTTAATCAGAATTTAAAACTTGTTACAGAAAAGTATTTGGTTACAAATATTTTGAGGCCTTTATGTTTATAATTTCACATTTCCAGTGATTTTCAACTATCATAAACGGGACCAATTTTTTCAATAGCATTATATTTTTCTTTATGTTCTCTTTCTCTCCAGCCTAATGTTGACATGTCAGTTGCATTGTTTATAATGTTGGAAGAAAATGTAATAGGTCCCTACAATAGGATCGGAAATACACATTGAAGCATATATTTTCAGTTCTCATTATAAAAACATATCTCACCTTTCTCAAAATTGTAACGGTGAATACAAAATTCTCTTTTTGGATAAGTTTTGGGGTTAGCTTACCATGTATAATACTGTGGCTCTGTAGAGTAGCTGCTGGTTGTACTGAACTGTTGATTGTTATCACGTTCTTTGTGGTAGCCAACCAACCAGTTCTCACACCCACTTCCTGAGACAGACCAGCTATTTTAATTACATGCCAGATCAAAGAACAGAGCTAAAACTGAAAACATTTAAATTTGCTTTTCTTAGGACATGTCAGCTCAAGGATCATCTTCACAGCTTCCCAAACCCTTTGATCCTGAGCCAGAAGCTAAGTATGGCACGCTGGATGTGACTTTTGACTATGACTCACAGGAACAGAAGCTCCTGGTAACCGTGACAGCCGTCACAGATATACCAACATATAACAGGACAGGTGGCAACTCATGGCAAGTACACCTTGTTCTTCTACCTATAAAGAAACAGAGAGCAAAAACCAGCATCCAGAGAGGACCATGCCCTGTCTTCACAGAAACGTTCAAATTTAACCATGTTGAATCTGAGATGATTGGAAATTATGCAGTTCGATTTAGACTGTATGGTGTACACCGCATGAAAAAAGAAAAGATTGTGGGGGAAAAGATTTTTTATTTAACCAAATTGAATCTTCAAGGGAAAATGTCATTACCTGTGATATTGGAACCTTCTTACAATCATTCTGTGAGTATCTGATCAAATAGCCCAAATACAGTTTGAGTTCAAAGTCTGTGATGTGCACAATTTTAATATGATAAGCCCAACCACCTTTCATTCTAATTTTCACATGTAAAAGTAGCCATACCTTTACAAAATTTCTAAGCCCTGAATAGGTAGGTATAACTTTTTTTTCATCTATAAGTTGCCCTTGAAGATTATATATGTATATATGATTTTTTCTCTTATGTATTTTATCTTTCACAGGGTCTAGCCCAGTGTCTTAAACATTTATTAGATGGTTGATTCTGACATCATCTGAACTCCTTATAGAATATATTGTTTTCTTTCCAGGTTAAAACTGTGTGATACATTAAGAACGCTCTAGCTCCATATGTTTGATATTACTTGCTCGTATAGAATATATACTGCTGACTAGGTCAGGACTGATTATAATTCCAGAACTGCTATGAAATAATTTTTAAAGCTTCAAAAGCATGGCCTCATTATATTTTCCACCTTTTTATACTAAGATTTTTGTAGTGTTTCTGGAAAAATACTTAAATTTAGTACCATCATCTGTTCTCCCTTTTCTCTATTTTCCTCCAGGTTCTGATCACATACAAGTCTCTCTTTATATTTTTAAACTAAATTCCTACAAGCCATTGCAGAGCACCAGAGAGTTGTACTGTTTATTTAAACCAGGGAGGTACATTATGCCACATAGTTACTTGCATTATGAGAAAATCTGTGATATGCTATAAATTATGAATGATATTTGCTCATCTGTTATACTAATTAAAAACCTTTTTATAATATAAATACACTGATTTCAGAAGAAATTGATACATTATTTTAAAATATAATATTTCAGAGTTGTTGTTAAGCTATTTCAGAGTTGTTGTTAAGCAAAGCTTAAGATTAGAGTCTCATTGAATTTGTACCATGCAGCTTTTGATCATATGAGAATGTTGTTCACAGCAGAACCACATACCATTTTACCTACTAGCCACGCAGACCAAATGTGATTTTTAAATTTTTTCATTAAGAATGGGAGAATTGCCCTGGCAGGTTTGGTTCAGTGGATAGACCATTGGCCTGTGGACTAAAGGGTTCCGGGTTCAATTCCGGTTGAGGGCACATGCCTGGGTTGCAGGCTCTGTCCCCAGTGGAGTGTGTACAGGAGGCAGCCGGTCAATGATTCTCTCTCATCATTGATGTTTCCCTCTCTCTCTCCCTTCCTCTCTGAAATCAACATATTAAAAAAAAAAAAGAGTGGGAGAATCAACATATTAAAAAAAAAAGAGTGGGAGAATATTTAATTGGCCTTCACTTTTTTCTCTCCTCTAATAAATTCCTGATTTAATTTTTTAAAAGGAATTTTCTGAAATTATCAATTCTGAAATTTAAAATTAGTAAGGAAATTGATAATTTGTTATAAAGACTTAAGTGTTATAGTGTATCCATATGGGTTTGTAGGATATTTATTGTCACCTTTTGGTTTTTAAATGTTGGAAGTGTTTATGGCAGATAACTTCTTTAGTTACATAGATTCATAAATAGAAAGAAGCTGTGCATAATGGATTACATCAAGAGCTGTAATTTGGATAAGAATAAGATTTTGGACTTTGAGATGATGAGGTTTAGATTTAAGTATAGGGACTTATTACTTTGAACTGATAACATAATAGGATGAGACTTTTAAGAGACATTTCACAGGTGGGATGTATCTGAATCATGGAGGCCAGAAGGCAGTCTGTGGTAGGCCTAATTCTAAGATGGTCCTCCTGACCTTCATTCCCTGGTAGTATTACTTTTGTGATTACGTTATGGAACATGGCAAAGGGATTTTAAAATGTAATTAAAATTGCTAATTAGTTGACATTAAAATAATGTATTATCTGGGTGTGCCTAGCTCAATTACTTGAACCCTTGAAAAGCAAAGTTTTCTATGATTGGGAGCAGAAAAAATAGATTGAAAGCATCAGTGAGATTGAACACAAAGTTCTCTGATGCTGAGACGAGTGGGTCATGGTAGGAGGACAGTGGAGCAGCCACTAGCCAACCACCAGCAAGAACGTAGGGTCCTCAGTTCTACCACTGCAAGGAACTGAATTTGGTCAACACCTGAGTAAAATTGGAATAATGTTCTTCCCCCAGAGCCTCCAGATAGACCCCCGCTGAGCCAACACCTAGATTAAAGCCTTGTAAGATCCTTTACAGAGAACCCAGTTAAACCCACCCAGACTCTGACCTACAGAAACAGTGAGATAATAATTGGATATTTTTAAATATACAAAGTTTGGAGTAACTTATTAGACAGCAGTAGAAAATTAATACAGCCCATAAGGCCTAGCTCTTTACAGAAAACTTTTGTTGACCTCTGCTCTAGACAACTAGGGATTGAAAATGAGTATCAGATGTGCAAATCACTTCTTTGGTTGAAGTGAATACTCAGATAACATTCTGTTAAGTCTACTTTCATCCTAGTGGGATATTCTTTACCAACTCAGGAAGTCTCCAGCAAATACCTTTATGTAACTATAAACATAAAATCTGCAGGTATTCTTTTTCTTCATGGTTGCTCCCTCAACATAGATGTAGTCACTTAGAGAAACATTATTTCATTTTCTTCTATTAAATTTATAGAAAGTAAAACAGATTTTTAAAATAAAAATATTTTTGTCAAAACCGGTTTGGCTCAGTGGATAGAGCATCGTCTTGTGGACTGAAAGGTCCCGGGTTCAATTCCGGTCAAGGGCATGTACTTTGGTTGCGTGCACATCCCCAGTAGGGAGTGTGCAAGAGGCAGCTGATCAATGACTCTCTCATCGATGTTTCTAACTCTCTATCCCTCTCTCTTCCTCTATGTAAAAAAAAAAAATCAATAAAATATATATTTTTTTAAAAAAGATATTTTTGATAAAACTATATTTCTATTCCTATTTCTGTTTGGACATACTCATAGAATGATGTCTGCAAAATGTTTACTACTACTCAAATTGTTATTAGGTAAAGTTTAAGGTGATTTTCTTTTTTACTTCTTTGTTATTTCTGTATTTTTTTTGCATAAAGATAATCATTTGTCAGTTTACAGAAAAAAATAGGATAAATGAATTTGGTGAAGATGAGTAAATAAATTCCTACCTAGATGTTTTAGGGTAACCAAAGCGATAACAGGAAAGATAAGGCCTAGTAGAAAACTTAAGTTTTCTTAAGTTCTAATGAGAGGGTTCTGAAAATGTGCCTAGATGTCTATATGTCATTAAATCTGATTCCATATTATATTTTTAGGTAAATACATAGAAGTTATAGGAATTAGACAGGGGAGTGGGTGGTATTGTCTCAGCAGTGAGGAGAGAAGACCTTCAGTACACCTAAGTTTAAAGATTGGAAGAAGGAGGGGTAAGAAAAGAAGTAGTAAAATATAACAAAAAATGAAGTTATGCAGGAAGATATATCGAATGCTGCTGATAGAACCAGTATTGAAAGCTGTCTATTGCGTGTAGGATATGAAGGGAATGATTAGTCTTAGACCAGTGGTTTTCAACCTTCCCAATGCCACGACCCTTTAATACAGTTCCTCATGTTGTGGTGACCCCCAACCATAAAATTATTTTCGTTGCTACTTCATAACTGTAATTTGCTACTGTTATGAATCATAATGTAAATATCTGTTTTCTGATGGTCTTAGGCTCTACAGCAGCGGTTCTCAACCTGTGGTTCGAGATCCAGAGGTTGAGAACCGCTAGCAGGGTAGCTTAGAAGGACCAGTTTTGGTGAGGTACAGGGGCCAGAGTCCAAACTAGATTGGCAGTCATGTCTTCTAAATTTGGCTGTAAAAAAAAGGAGAGGACAGTATTTGGAATGGATGGGAGAGGGAAATTAGATGTTTTTGAGGTTAAGAGAAATTTGGGCATGCTTACCTACTCTGTAAGTAATATAATAAAAAGATGGAGTATAAGATATAGGAGAGCTAATTGAAGAAATATAACATGTTCTTAAATATATACTTTCATTGATTTCAGAGAGGAAAAGAGAGAGAGATAGAAACATCAATGATGAGAGAGATTAACTGATCGGCTGCCTCCTACACGCCCCAGCCACTGGGTATGTGCCTTTGACTGGAATTGAACCCGGGACCTTTTAGTCCGAAGGCTGACATTCTATCCATTAAGCCAAACCTGCTAGGGCTGAAGAAAGATATTAATTGATGTGACTGGGATGAACAGAGAAGCAAAATATTTAAGAGATTTATTTAAATTGTGGACCATGAAATCTAGGTGTAATAAAGAGAGAAGTGGAGCTACAAAGGGACTGATAGGCAGGGGGAAGTAAGTGGACTGAAAGTCCTAAATATATCAAGGAACAGATATGAGAGGAATAGTTGAGAAAGAAATATAGAAAGTTAGGCAACTGTGGTTAGAAAAGAGAATTTGAAATAGGAAGTAAAATCACTGGAAATGGACAAGTTGGTCAAGAGAGGCCAGGTTCTTGGGTGGGTTATCCACGTGGATATTGAAGTCACAAAAGAAAGTGGTAGAAATTGAAATGTAAAAGAGGGTTGAATCAAGGGTCATTGTTCTCAAGGAATGAAGATAAAACGTCCAGGACAGAATATTTATATAGACAGGATGACATGAGCCTAAAAGGAAAATAGTTATTCTTTTCCACAATTTTAGAGGAGTGGTGTTTGACACAGCAGCAGAGAGCTTTGCTTCCTGACCCCAACGCCTTTTGGGTATGAGGAAATAACCAGGTTAAAAAGTCTGCACCAGATGATGTGTCCTCAGGGAAGAATGGGATTCAAGCGGAACAAGGTGTTGGGTGTTTAGAGAAGAAACTAAAGTTCTGGAGGAGTTTATCACAGGTCAGAAACACCAAAAGGCATCCTGAGAAGAGGAGCTTAATGGAAGTTTGTGTTAGTGAAGAAGCACAGAGAATTACAGAATGAATATGAAAGTAAAAGAGATGGCCGGTATCAGGGATTTGCCCTCATTTACATTATACCAAAATGTCATTGGTAG